TCCATTAACACACCAACAACGTTGAATTTACCCGCTATCTTCCAAATATGGTATATTAATTTATTCAGTTGTTTATTTAGAGTGACGTCCGCGGTCGAATGTGATTGGCTATCGATGTCAGTGCAAAGGTCATATGAATATTAAAATTAAGTGGGCGGAAGGAAAATTGTATAGGAGACAAGCTGGAGTCTCGTGTGGCGATAGCGATAACACCGGGACGAATGGTCTGGGGTAAGATAATAGAGTAAACTCTGTATATTTGGTTGCTATGGAAAAAATTCATTTGACAACATTCATCACATGCACAAATTGTTCATAATTTGATCTGCAATTGAGGGAGTTCAGGGAGACTAAAACAACATAAATCACTGCAGCTCAATGTCTGTAGAGAACTCAATGAAAGTTTACACCTGCATATTTTACAAGTTTCCTTTTGATTTTCGTGAAGTTTACCAATTTTGGTCATGAAAATAAAAGATTACTGTAACAGTATTTCCAGATTAATAGTTCTTTTTTTGAGTTTTTACACCAGACAATGTTGTTGGTTATGAATTTGTGAATATTTTTGTAATTTTTGGTAAAAAGTGATATTTTTGACTTCTTGTTAAAAACCGCAAGTCCAATTGTTTTGATATTACATATATAGATGCTACATGTTGTTGGTCAGGATACTAAACAAATTTGTGATAATTCAGTGAAGGGCTTTGATCACCAGTATTAAATTTTATTTAAAGTTTATTTTGTTGAGAGCAAAATGCACCCAATCATATAACATGAATACACGAAAATTTAAATACTGTTTTTTTCAGAAAGCTGTGAATTTAAAACATAGTGCATCATCACTTCTGCTAAAATTGAACCCAGTGAATATTACTTCTTTTAAAGTAGTAAACATACCTTCTTTCCACTCGAGATCTTTTCTAAGAACGTCGTCAGCTCCTGCACCTCTGCAACTAACGCCCTCACAACCGCTTGATAATGACTAATTGCTTGAGTGGGATGTGGTAGGTGGGATGCACAGACCTGAATAAAAAATTAAAATTAGACTATATATCTCTTCCAAGTTTGACTGAACAAACAAGCATTTACCTATCCACATGTTGCCCGTTTGAATCAGGTGATACTGCCCTCTACAGACTATATAGAGAGAAGGATAAGATAAATAAAAGCAGATGTTTGTGATGCTCATACTGCACTTTATATGTGATCTAGATTACATATTGGATTACCTATTCATACCAATGGCATTCTAATGTAACGCAGACATTGAAATTCAGATTTTCAATACTATACAAGATTTTTATTTATTTACTCTGAACATTGAAAAGAGATGAAAACCAGCAAGATGCTACATAGTCAACATCATTTTAATGAAAACCAATAAAAGAATTTACAGCTTTTTGAACTTATTTGTTTTCATTTCCAATTATAATATTTTTTGGATTGTTTGGAAGGTATTTAAAGCACCAGTCATCTAACAACATGCACATAAATTATATTAATAATGCATTTTTCACATGCTTTAATTGTATTTGTACATGGGACCAATTTTCGAATATGACATAGTGACGACCAGTGTTTTAACATATAAAATACTCAAATATAATGATTAATATGACTGTGATATTTTATTTATTCTGCATTTAGAAAACAAATATTTTTATTATTGGTAGATTTACCAAAGCCTGATTTAACGAAACTAATTGTGCTCTAGCTACTGTATTGAATTGGTCATTTGAAATGAACATAATATAGCATTGCACTGGGGGTATCATACTTATACATGTACATCTAAAATAACTGTATACCAATTTAAGTGTGCATACAGAATATGTAATTTCACAGAGAGGAGGTCTAAAAGATGGAGAAATAAAATTTTCACTCCTTAGTGCCTCATCAATATCAGAAAATGCTAATATTGGTGAAGATTCCAGTAACAACAAATCAAAATAAGATCATTAAAAAAATGTCCCATGTACTGCAGGCCAAAGTTCATAATTTTACACATCAATGTGTCATTTAACTTCTTGAATCAATTAAATGCACTGTTACTATTCTCTGAATATACAAACTTTCACATCTAATTTCCTGTCTATAAACAACCTTCATTTCGAGTCAGTACAATCATAGCCTACTCTTTAATATAGAGCCTACAATTAATGTAGTAATATATTATGAAGCCTGTTGGTTATTAGTAATACTGTAAAATCATTTATTTACACTGACGTTTAATTTCACTATTTTGATGATTTGAGCATATTCATGGTGTTTTTATTTTACAAATTGTCAAGGAAACAATGAATTTTATTGCTATTTTACATGTTCACGTAGATTTAATTTACCAGATTTTACTTATCAGCGAATATAGCGAAATGAAAACTCTGTGAATAATTAATGCATTTACAAGTATATTGTGAAGCCTTTTGGTTACTGTAGAATACTTTATTTTTGCTGAAGGGATGATTCCATGAAAATAAAATCTATCGAATATACTTTTTTTCTTATATTTCACATTAAACTCATAAAAAAAATCAGTGAAAATAAATTCCATCCAAAACGCCCAAAAAGCCTTTTCAGCGAAAATTAATTCCAGCAAAAATAAAGTATTTCACAGTATTTAAATTGTGGTTACAAAATTTAACTGTTACCTCATGTGGGTCAACTAGCTAACGGGCGGTTATATCTAAAGGATTACTGTTTTAACTTTGATGATGTATCCCCTGGAGAACATTTATACAATTTTGTCAACGTTATTAATAAATTACACTAGTCAAATTTATTAATTATACATGTAAGACAATTTTGTTTTTGAATATCAAATGTTGGAATCATACAACAATGATCAGGTCAAAGGTCATAAAGCTCTTGAAATTTGAAAACAATGAAAAGCCAAAAATAATGAGATCTGAATGACACAGAATAAAATAATGTCAAGGCCACAATTAGCTAAATGGTGTCAAAGGTGAAAAAACGCTTGGATGTCATATTGTTCTGATTAATTAAAAAAAAACAATACATGACAATTTGGCTAGAACAACAAATTTGCCCAGTGGATTTTTCTATAGCAAATGCAAGCAACGAAATACTTTTTTTCTTCAAATGCATAACAAAATTGTAGGTTTCACTACTTGTCACGTAAAATTAACACATGGTCTGCTGAAAGCCTCTATGAATAACTAACTGAATGTAAAAAAAAAAACAGTGACAGCAGATGATTTAAACCAGACAAGCAAATCAAGCTCTATAAGATTTGGAATAAATCTCAATTGTAAACAATCTACTAGGATTTATATTTATATTTATATTTATCACCTGACAGTTTTAACGATCTTTAATTTACATATATTAATATATATATACAAGTTTGTTAGGCTTACTCAGCGGTATAATAATCATTAATAATAGAATTCTATATTTAACATGCCAGGTACATGCATTTTTATATTATTATTAATATTTATCTCATCTGTAAACATTCAAAGTTCTGATATACAGCTATTCTGGGAACATATAGTATAAAACTAAAATGGCATGTTTATTTTCACCATTACTTTCATGTAAAAGACAGAAACAGCCACATTATAAATCTTGTTGTGTGGGACCCACATAATTTATACAGTACATATAAAATACATTGTGCTATTTCAATGATACTTTAGTAACCATAGTCCATCACTGTCAAATAATTTTGTTGATTAATTGTAAATATAGACCATTTTACTCAGGCATAATGGGAAACTATCACAACAATTTGAAGAAATTTCAAACTGGTTCTGATAGTATTATATATGTTGCAGTGACTTAAAAATAGTAAACCTATCGTTTATTATTATTAAAGTAGCCCTTGACATGCACACGCATATTTAATTGAAAGCAATCAACCGCCATGTTTAATTGGTTAACCTCGAACATTTGCAAAATCAATAATTGCCAGACATTCATATTGAGAGGTTAATGTCCTAGCTGCTTTCAAATTCCTCTATGCTAAGTCATTTTGAACAGCTGACTGATAAACAGAGTGTAAGAAGCCAAGATGAACACAGTGCAAGCAGCTGGCAACTTAATATATGAGTAATAATAAGTCAAGGACAATAAATAAATTTGAAAATTTTTTTAAATTAGAATCACTGTTAATTCAAATGAGAGATCAGTGTACATTGTACATCACTTATTCATACATTCAAACATCACATCTAAATATTATTCACCACCAGATTTTCTCACCAAAATTGTTCTGCACTTTTTTTCTCATATTCTTCAATATTTCTGGAAATGAACCTTGATTTTGGAGCCAACAGACAAAATTTGAGTCAATTTTCAGTTTTTACTCAAAAAATGTATATACAATGAAGATTTCAAAAGAAGAGAATTTTTGTGCTTTATGGCCATTTGAAAAGGATGAAGAATCCAATTGTGATATTCATGATGATGGTCTCACAAAAAGCAAACTTTCCTTTGAAAGTGATGAAGAACACATTCGTTTATCAATTGAATGTATTTTCAACCGACTGCATCACAGAATGAGTATATAAACTCTTAATAATATATGTGATCAGAACAAAAAAATATACAAGAAGTGAGGATACTAGCAGATTTTGCATCAGTGCCTTTCCTGTCACTATGTGTTTATAACCTAGATTTATAAGCTGAAAAGTTTCACATTCTGGCAAAGTAAACGATAGTAAAGTACAAGATAGAATTTTTTTGAATTTGTTGAAATCGTTGTCAAGCAAGTTTATGATGATCTTTGTATTATTCACATGTAAGCAAGCTGGTCCTCATTTGTACAATTTTGTGAAAGCAATTCTCAAATACAGCATGGCAGCAATCACTGGGTTTTTACTTTAATTACTATAAATCATAATGTTTGAATAAAAACTGAATGAACAAAATAAAAACAGATAAATTTGGCTCATGTAATTCATTTTACACAGATGAATGTAATCTCTCAGACATCAACACTGATTGATTTTATGGCTCTTAGACAGGAAAATTGGAACATAATCATTCATCAACTACTCAAGTATTAAGTTTCCTTCTGAAATTATTAACAGCAAACAAAATGTGGATTACATGATCCTCATTTTCAAAAACATTTACTTTCTTTATTGCTTAGCAACAAGCATACATGTACAAGACTTTCACTTTAGTGCTTACACGGATTTTGTAGGAGCTAAGAACCTTTCATCAAAAAGGTAAAAAAAACATGGCCGACGACACAAGATCTTGTTGCTAGGTAATTATTGCTAATCATCATCAGTATATTGTGAATTAACTCACCAATTACAGACTATTTTCAGTACAAACTTTGGTTAAAGAAAAAATCATGTTGCTAGGTAACCAAAGTATAAATGTCTGGGTTACTAAACTATGTGCATTTTTGTGTTACAATGAATCTATTCATTAATATCGGTTTTAAGTATACATATGCATAACCACATTTCTAGGTAACCACAAATGACTATCAGCTAAAATCTTCATGTCTTTTGAATGAAGTTTGACAAACAAAACTAAAAACTGCACAAACACGTCTTGATGTATTTTGTATCTAAATGGTAGTTTTTTTGTTTTTTTCTACAACATTTTGAAATATACATGTATGTTGGTCTTGTATTTCTATTAAATCAAATATGCCCAGTAGTACATGTTCACCAGTTGGTTTTCAATTCTACTATTTTCAGGAGTGGGGTTTCAGGGGAAAATATTTTTATTTTCACATGAATAACGGGGCAGCTGAGCCATTTCGTAAAAAGTCAAACTACGTGACCCCATGCAAATAATACAGTCCCAGGATTTATATTTGAGAGAGTTGATGGGAACAATACACAGTAAACTTCAGGTGTTAGTTCTGGTCTGATGGTAATACCATGTCAGTGCTCTGCAGGGAATTTATTAGAATTCCATCATTTGTAAATGCTATGGTACAATGAAGAAATAAAATAGAGTAGCATATGGGACTAGTTCTAAAATCTTGAGTGAAACAAAGATGCAAGCGGATGTTTAGAAGTCCTCAAACTTGAAAC